TCCTATCCTGTGGTCTATCTTTGAGAATGTCCCATGTGCACTTGAGAAGAATGTGTATTCTGTAGTTTTGGGGTGTAATTCTCTGTAGATATCTATTAAATCCATTTGGTCTAGTGCTTCATTTAGAGTCTCTGTTTCCTTGCTAATATTTTGTTTAGAGGATCTATCCAGTGTTGTCAGCGGGGTGTTGAATTTCCCTGCTATGATTGTATTGCTATTGATTTCTCCTGTGAAGTCCTCCAGAAGATTTTTAATATATTTTGGTGCTCCTATATTGGGTGCATATATGTTTATCAAGGTTATATCTTCCTGTTGGATAGATCCTTTCCATATTATGTAGTGCCCTTCTTTGTCTCTAATTCTTGCCTTCATTTTGAATTCTATTTTATCCGATATGAGGATTGCCACCCCAGCTGTTTTTTTTTTCCTTTCCATTTGCTTGGAAGATATTTTCCCATCCCTTCACTTTCAATTTTTGTGAGTCTTTTGTTGTGAGGTGGTTTTCTTGTAAACAACATATAGATGTCTCGTGCTTTCTTATCCAATCAGCTACTCTGTGTTTTTTTATGGGAGCATTCAATCCATTTACATTTAAGGTGATTATTGATATGTGCTTATTTATTGCCGTTTTTGTTCAGTGTGGTTCTATTTATTTTCCCATTTCTTCTGCTAATTACAGCAGTCCTTTTAACATTTCTTGCAGTGCTGGTTTTGGTCTAATGTATGCCCTTAGCCTTTTTTTGTCTGGAAAGCTCTTTATTTGACCTTCTATTTTGAATGATAGCCTTGTTGGGTAGAGTTGCCTTGGATTAAGATTCTTGTTTTTCATGATCTTGATTACTTCATGCCAATCTCTTCTGGCCTGTAGTGTTTCTTGTGAGAAGTCAGCTGAGATCCTTATGGGGTTTCCTTTGTAGGTAACGTGTTGCTTATCTCTTGCTGCTTTTAGGATTCTCTCTTTGTTTTTACTTTTGGCAGTTTGATTCCTATGTGTCTTGGTGTGGGCCTGGTTGCGTTCTTCTTACTTGGGGCTCTCTGTGCTTCTTGAACTTGAATGCTTTCTTCCTTTACCAAATTAGGGAAGTTTTCTGTCACTATTCCTTTGAATATATTCTCTAACCCTTGCTCATTTTCTTCTTCGCACACTCCTATGATGTGAATATTATTACGTTTCCACTTGTCCTACAGTTCTCTTAAGCTGTCTTCCTGTTTTTTAATTGCTTTTTCCTTTTGGTTTTCTGATTGTTTGATTTTTTTTGTATCCTGTCTTCTAATTCACTGAGACGGTCCTCAGCTTCCCCTACTTTGCTTTTATGACCTTCCAATGTGGTTTTCATTTCTGATATTCATTTTTCATTTCTTTCTGGTGGTTTTTAATTTTCAACTGGTTGATTTTCAACATTTCTATGTCTTTACTCATGGTGCTCATATCCTTGCACATGCTGTTGAGCTTCCTCAACATCATGGCTCTAAATTTTAGTTCTGTTAACTTGCTTAACTGCACCTCATTTATCTCATCTTCGGTAGAGGTCTCTCATTTTTTCATTTGGCTTTTGTTTCTTTTGTTTCTGTTTTCACCATTTTGGCTATCACAGTGAGCTTTCAAGTCTGCCAAATTTTTCATGTGGGTGTTGGTATTCTACTGTTTGTGGCTCCCTCTTCTCAGTTTGGATGAGGCAGGGAGGACCCACTTTAAACACCACCTTCAAGTTTTATCTTTTCTGGTTAGTGTTTCTATCCCAGGGAATGGTAGTTATCCTCTAACTTTTTTTGCCTGGAGGCTATTAGTAGAGGTCCCCTGAAGAACTTGGTTTTTGATTTGCCTGAAAAACTCCCTCAGGTGCTCAGTGTCAGAGGATTTACAGAGGGTGGGGCAGCTGCTGTTTGTCAATGGGCCTCAATTAGCATTTCAATGGCCACCAGGTGGGGTGGAATCTCTGAAGGAGGGGCCACCACTTCTCCCCATGTCCCTGGGCTGGAGTAAGATGACCAGAGTCCTGTGTGGCTGCACTCAGCCAAAGCTCTGAGCACCCTCCAAAACCTGAGTGTCCCCACACAGTTCCAGTCCTGTCTGCCTTCTCTCTGCTTTAGCCCAAGTTGAGTGGCTGCTGCCAGTTTAGCCTCTGTGTATACTCTGCATCATGGAGCTGCCTGGGACTTTTAACCCGAGGGAGCTGCTCCCAGCCATGGGTGGCCGAGGCTGTGGCACCAGTCGAGAGTGTAGCACTCAGCTGAAGCCACAGGACTCATCCACAGTCGCAGCAGTTTCCAGCTGAGTCCCTCGGTCCCAGCTGAGTCAGTGCGGCAGCAGCCGAGGGCTTAGCATGCAGCTGAGTTCACAGGACTCAGATGTGGTCGCAGCCGAGGCGGCAGCAGCTTCCCTCTGAGTCCCCTGGTCCCAGCCAGTCCATGTGGCATCAGCCGAGGGCTTAGGATGCAACTGAGTTCACAGCCAAGGTGGCAGCAGCTTCCCGCCGTGTCCCCTGGTCCCAGCCGAGTCCACTGGTCTCAGCCCAGGCTTCTGTGGACCATGGGCTCCTAGTTATGTGGTCCTCCAAGGTTTCTTTCAGTTGCCCCTTCCTGATGATTTGTCTTTATTTTTGTTGTAAATCCAGTTTGGTCCTGGGAGATGGTCTGTGTAGCTCCATTCACTCTGCCGCCATTTTTTTTTCTGTCATCATTTTTAAAAATATGTTTTCAATTTCTTGGTCTCTCTCTTCTCCTTCTGGCACTCCCATGATGCATATGTCGGTATGCTTGAGGTTGCCCCACAGGCTCTTTATACTATTCTCATTTTTTTGGTTTCTTTTTTCTTTTTTCTCTTCTGATTGGGTGTTTCTTTGCTTCCTTATATTCCAAATCAGTGGGTTGCTTCTTGGTTTTACCTGTTCTACTATAGATTCCCTGTAAATTATTCTTTGTATCAGTTAGTGCATCCTTCATTTCTGATTGGTCCTTATGCTCTTGAGGTCCTCAAGAAGTTTCTTGAAATTCTCACTATGTTCATTGAACTTCATTATAAGCAGTATTTTGAACCCTGCATTTGTTAGATTGCTTATCTGTTTCATTTAGTTCTTTTCCTGGAGTTTTGTTCTTTTCTTTCATTTGGGACATGTTTCTTTGTCTCCTCATTTGGGCTGCCTCCTGTATTTTTTTCTATGTGTTAGGTAGAGTTGCTATGTCTCCTAGGTTTTCTAGGGTGGCTTATTGTAGTAGGTGTTCTGTAGGTTCCAGTGGCACAGCCTCCCTGGTCACCCAGCTGGGCACTTGAGGTGCACTTCTCCTATGGTCTTTGCACTCTTCTGTTGTAATTGACTCTTGATTTCTGTTGGCACATCAATGGGAAGATTTTACTCAGGCTGATCAGCTGCAAGGACTGGCTGTGCTCACTAACCCCTGACCTCTGACTACCTTGGATGATCAGCTATGCAGAGGACCACCACACAGAGCAATAGTTATTTCAGCAGGGCTCTGGTACCCACTGAGTCCATTGCTTGAGTGTATCACTTGTGGAGTTGGTTGGGTGGTGGTGTTTCAATGTGGTTTTAGGCTGTCCATTAGGTGTGATGGCTCTCGGGCAAGGTCAGCCTCTGCCTGTGTTCTCTCTGGGGCCACCAGGCATAAGCTACAAAGCAATCTGCTGATAGCTGCTTCTTGTGTTGGGCTTGGAGATGCCCAGGGAAAGCCCAGCTGTGAACCAAGGCTGGTTGCTTCTAGTGCCAGGCCTGGGACCACTTAGCAAGAGCTACGGGGCTCATTGTGTCTCGGTGCTGCTTGTTTGAGATAATTTAGGAAAATCTTAAGCAGGAGCCCAAACAGGCCAACTCTATGTTAAAGCCACTAGAAACAACTTGGGTGGGCCCAAAATTTGGGTGGGGCATGGCCTCAGGGAATCACCAGGGCAGGGAAAACAGTGTGAGCCCAGTTGCTGGAGTCCCAGATGTGGTGCCCATCTGCTGGCCTCATTGGGGAAGGGCTCATCAAAGGAACAATGGCTTCCTCCAGCATGTCTCTCCGGAAGAAAGTTAAATTTCCAGCTCTTATCCCAATGCCAAACAACTCAGTTCTTCCCCATATGTCTCTGGTGCCTTTCAGGCTTCCTCCCCCATGCTGGAGCCTGGAGGGAGCAGGTCTGAATAAGTCAGTGAGTGGGCCCTTTAAGAGGAACGGCCTGGGGCTCCAGAAGCTTCAGCCTCCCTCATCCTCAATAACTGCTGGTTTTTACAGCCAGAAGTGATGGGGTCTTCTCTTCCTGGCATTGGAACCCTGAGCTGGGTGCCTGGTGTGGGATGGGGATCCCTCACTGCTCAGGGAGAACCTTCACAGCCAAGGTGACCCTCCTGATTTTTATCTGCCACTTGTGGGTGTGGGACCCGCCCGTCCTTGCCTCCATCCCTTCTGCCAGTCTTCCCTCCTAATTTTGTAGTTGTAGGACTTCCATTCAACTCGATTTTAGGAGGTTATGAATGATAATTGTTCTGTAATTTAGTTGTAATTTTGATATGGTTGTGAGAGGAGGCAAGTATTGTGTTTTCATGACAAATTTTCTTAAATATGATTTCCAAATGTTAAATTTGTCACCCCAAAAGGTAACATATAAGATTTACAAGTATATCATTTTTTTGAGCAATGACTACAATTGCAGCACATCCACAAAACTGGAATTAGTTCTAACAATCTCTGCAAACCTTTGTTCTAGATTTATTTTGAAACCCACTTATAAACAAGTCAGAATAGAAACAATATATATGTATACTATTCTGAAGACGTAGCTTAAATTTGCCAAGACATCTTCAGAGCAAGTTCCTTTGTATTAATTTATTTGAAGAATTTCTAGGTCATTTCCTAGAAATGACAAAGGACCTACTGTAAAAACCGCTCTTATGTGTTTGCTTGGCCAGCTGAGGGCATGTCCTCAGTAACCTTCTCTGCACATCCTAGTCTCCCACATGTAACAGCACTGTGACTGGGGACCCTCTTCTGTATTCTCTGTCACTGCCTCATTGCTTGTTTGACTGCTTTTCATTCTTGGCCTGGCTGCTCTGCTTCCTTGGTGGAGAATGACTGACTATGAGTGGAGCTGGGAAGATGTGCTTGTAAGGGTGGGCTCTGTGCTTCTTCCAGCTTTCTTCTTTCTGGTTCTGGCTCTTCTCAGGTTCATTAGCACCCTCTTTTTGTTTATGATCTTGTTCTTCATTGGATGGGAGTGTGTTCTTAATTGTGTTAATAAGAAATTTCTTATTGGTGCCCGTAAGAGGACACTTTATCCAACTCACAAGTCCCATTGTTTCTGCTCTTGTTTTCCCACATTTTCCCTCTTTAAGCAGTTTTTCTATTGCTTTTATCTCCAGCTCTTGATCCTCTTCCATCACAGGGGTGGCTTCTGGGATCCTCAGGTGGTGCTGGTGGATGGGATGCTCTGCCCCATACCGCAAAACGTGTGAGAAGCAGAAAGGAAGAAACGTGAAGGCACTTCTTATTCCTAGAAACGTTTTGAGCATCACGAAAATAAGTAGATGTTCTCCCAAAGGAAATACTTTGAAAGCCAACAGTGCTTGTCTGCCATACTTAGGATTTCAAGGTTTGTTTAGTTAGAAATACCAGCTATGTTATTAACAGTTAAAAAATAACTGTTATAATTAACTGATCCTTGTTACATTTTTGGGAGAAATAACATTTTTCACTTCTAAAGGAAAAAAAAAATTAAAGTAGCACTTATTGAAACTCTTCTCACTCAGCCATCTACTGTATTTGGTGCTAGATGCTGAGCTAGGTAACTCCTACAGCAATCCTGTATGAAGTAGGCATCATTTCAAAAGCTGAGGTTCAGAAAAGTTAAGGGGCACATCAATAGAAATCAGGATCTTCCTTCAAGTTTGCCAAGTATCATAAAAGAAATCTCCTCCATAGTGTATTTTAGAAGCTCTTCCATGGTAGTTAGCAATATATATAGCATTAGTACAATTTACTTTCTCTTTTTTGATGTTACAATACCATTTTAACCAACCAGAGTACACCATTGCTTTCATGCCTCTTGCCAGAGACTAATGTAATAAAAATAATTTTTTATTTATTGGATACTTGTTTCTCAACAATAACCCTATCAAATTTATCAGTTATCTACAAAATGGTTTCCCTTCTTTTGATGTTTGGTTGGTTTGTTTTATTGAGCTTCAAGTCTTTTTACTTGTAGTGCATAGTCACCTTGGCTCCTGATAAAGGTTCTTTTAAATAGTGTCTAGGCTTCTAAATTTCTTTTTACAGTCAAGAAACAGTACTTTCCAAACCTAGGTAATTTAACTAATTATGCTGAAGCTGTTTTCTTATCTTTCACCTGGAGATAAAAATGCTTGCCTTACCTTCCTCTTTCAGGATTAAAGGACAATAAATGCAGTCATGTATTTGAATGGATGTTGAAGAAGTATAATGCATGGTATAAAATACATAGTATTGTTTTTTCACATTGATTATGTGATTGACTAACCACTAAGCCAATGTGAATTTGGATGTAATTTGATCTAGGTTCTAGGATGGCTGCAGAGAAAAACTTCTTTCCTTGTCTTAGCTCAAAAAAACAGAAAGGACTCATACGTTACTAAAGGCCAGGCCCTGAAAGATGTCCTTAGATAATTAAACATGGCAGCTGTTACTACTCACTGTCAAAAACATTCAATTATTCTTTGCAATAAATATAAATTAGAATTATTATGTTGTACAACTGGAACTAATATAATGTTATATGTTAATTATATCTTAATTTTTTTAAGTTTTTTAAAATGTACAGTTTTGAGTAGAGCTTCACTTTAAAAAAATCTAGATTGTAGCTGTTCCACTAAAAAGATACAATGCTGTACAAACTTGCTTTATGCTAGAATGTTGTGTTCCCCAAAATTCACGTGTTGAAGTCCTAACCCTCAGTGTGGCTGTATTTAGACAGGAGCCCTTTAAGGGAACAACTAAGGTTAGGTGAGGTCTTAAGGGTAGGGCCCTGATCTGATAAGATTAGTGTCCTTAGAAGAGGCAAGAGAAAGCTTGCTCAATTTCTTTCTCTGCTTGAGCACAGCGGAAAGGACAGATGACCACATAGTGGGCCACCCAAGGGGAGAGCCCTCTCCAGATACAAACTTGTTTCTGACACCTTGATCTTTGGATTCCCAGTCTTTAGAAATGTGAAAAAATACATCTATTGTTTAACAAACAAAAAGAATTGCTTTATGCTATATTGCAAGGTAATAAAAGTTTAAATTAGCTGCCCTGCTGGTGTGGCTCACTGGTTGAGCATTGACCCATGCACCAAGAGGTCACTGATTTGATTCCCAGTCAGGGCACATGCCCAGGTTGTGGGCCCAATTCCCAGTGAGGGGCATGCAGGAGGTGGCCAATTGATGTTCTCTCTCATTGATTTCTCTCTCTCTTCTTCTACCTTCCTCTCTTTAAAATCAATAAAGTCAAAATTTAAAAAGGAAACAGGAGAAATAAACATTTATATTTTTTAAAGTTGAAATTAATGGCAACAACAACAAAAATATTTGATTAGGTTGTTTACATTAAGGAACCAAATGAGGACAGTACTCTAAAAAGCTGCCCCTGCAGAGAGAAACTGATTGGTCTAAATAGAGAAGGAGCAAAAGATAATGTGAGGCTCCCAGGATTTTCAGCTCTGATTTTGCCCACTGTTTGAAAGTGGGCAAGTCTCTGTGATATTCTGATAATCAGTTTCTTTAACTAAAACAAGAGGAGGGACAGAGAGAATGATACTTTACTTATCTCACTGGGTTACTGTGAAAAGTTCTGTCAACTGTAAAGAGCAATGCACACATAAGAAATTCATTAACTCAGCAAATGTTTATTGAGTGCCTATGGTGTACAATGCACAAAAGAAAACAATCTGTTCTCCAGAAACTGGCAGTCTATTAGAGAAAGAATAAAATATATAAAAATAAAAAATAAGACATAGACCATCTAAGTGCCAGAGTAGAGATAAACATTATTCTTATATTTCTACAAATAAATCAACTAGATGGTGACTGGGATTGATTAATAAGATGATTAAAATGATGAAATGATTCTTTGAAAGGCACACTGCTTTATCATCACATTTTCTTTATTCCTTACACTTAATTAATTAAATTATTTATCATTTGGCTAATATTTATTAACCAACTACTATGTACTGATTCTTACACTAAAGGCTGCAGACATACTGGCAGTTAAAAATGCATGTTCCTGCTTTCAGTGAACTTACAATTTAGAGGGGATAAACAAACATGTAAAGGCATGAGGAAATGTTGCAGATGTAATGATGAACACTGTTAGATAGCTGAGGGAAGAACGCACAAGGCCAAAGTGATGAAGGAACAGAATTTTATTCAGGGCATTTGCAAAGCAGATGGGCTGAGTCCAAAATGACATCAGCCCCAAAATAGCCAGGGCTTGCTGCTTATACAGAGTTTTCTGGGGCGGGCTCTTTTGGCGGGCTTCTTGGGGCAGATGCAGGAACAAAGACGGGCAAACAGGATATTAGTTGTTCAACCATAATGGCAAAGGGTCTGGTTCCCATACCAGTGGGGGATGTGTGATGAGGTAAATGAACAGAATGTTCAGATAAGCAAGAACAATACAAGGCCATATTTACAGAGACATTCCTATGGCATGGTGTTCTCTGGTCTAATATTCCAGTCTTTCGTTATTAAGGACTGGGGGTGGAGGTCATTTTTTTTTGTAGCTACTTTCTGCTGGAGGGGGCGCTAGGGTCACAGAGGAATGAACTTTGATAACAGTCAGCTAGAATGAGTTACTAGCCTTCTGGAACTTGAGATGGGGTTGGTATCAGATCAATGATTGAAGGAGCATCATCTCACCAATAGACTGTTTGGTGAAGGCCCAGACATGATTCTGGAGAAATGAAGAAAATCTGTGTAGGATGCAGGTACCAAAAAGAAGAGCAAGGAGAAGCATTAATAGGGGTCTCGCTAATGAAAGGAGCCAAGAGGTCCAATTTAATTTTTGTAACCATGAGCCCCCAGATTCCAAGAGCTGTTGCTGAACTTTTTGAGGCCTGATTGGCTAGTGATTTTGTTCGTTTGTTTGTTTGTTTTTGTATCTCTAACTACAACAGATTGATTCACATAAAGCAGCATTCCTCTTCTAGGAAGAGACAGAAGCCTAAACTGTGTGAGTAAGCAATTAGATAAACAGGGATATAGGCATACATTCTATGAAGCAGTACACAAAACATCAAGGTTAATGTATACATTAAATCATAAACCAGTTGAGAAGATTTCCAGATGTAAGGCTTCCACTGGAATTAAATCATGCAGTGACAGTCTGACAGATTGCCTGCAGTTAAAATATCCTGGTGGTTATCAGGTGTGGAGGCATGTATGGCATACACAGACACAGCCTTACACAAAACTTTGAAGACAGGTTACTGCACAATACCCATAATTAGGTATTGTGGTTTTTCACTGAGACATAATTTTTTTCTCTCTCTAAGAGTACCCTTCTGTTAAAGAGACTGTATTAAGTCTAGTTCTAGTCTGGCTTGGTTATTTACATAAACACAAGAGTATCAATAGCTTAAATTGATCGTACAGGCTTTCTCCAATTTTAGTTTGCTGGAATGTTACTCATTCATAGGTAATCTTTAGATTTAGCAGTTAACAGTCAGCTCCTCAGGGCAGAGAAGCCAAAGACACAGTTGCCATCACGCAATGCCCAATGTACCTGCAAATTTGGGCCACGATCTGAAGTCTTTGAGGTTCCCAAAATACTGAGGTTCTTTTTTGCCATTTTACAGGAAAGTAACCTTCGTTTTTACCTGGAATGACTGTCATGGACCATGTGGCCAAGCAAGGTACCAGGCCATGTTTCCAAGGGGCTTTTTTGGCTTCAAAGTCAATTTTCCTTCCTTAAAGCTTCTGGTGACATCCAGAGTCTTGGCATGTCTCTCTCAGGCATGATATTCCAGCCCTGGCCGGTTTGGCTCAGCGGTTAGAGCGTCGGCCTGAGGTCTGGAGGCATGATATTCCAGTCAAAGTCTTAGTTAATGAAACCACAATTGGAAACTGGCTTTATGAATCCTTTGATAAAGAAATCATATTCTTAATAGATTTATGCAAATAAATCTATTACCATGAAATTAATAATATTAACTAATTAAGAGCTTCCAAATTCTGGAGGGACCAGGTAGGAAGAAAAATATAAATGCCTCAATATTGTTTATAAAGTATAATTTACTAAATTGCTTTGAGAAAAGAAACATGTTTCCTTATGTCTGGAAAACAAAAAATATTAAATATCAGCAATATTTAAAAGAAATAAAAAAATATGATTTTCAGTTTATTCAGTCTAAACTACAATTTAGTTC